GACACTAGAAGCCCTCCCACTGTTGCCCCCACCCAAGCACCAAGAATACAGAGCATCACTTGCCCCAGACAGAGTGTTCCATCTCTAAGAACATGAGAGAAGCCATGTTGGTTCAGGCCAATGGCCCATCCAGTCCAACACTCTGTCACACAGTGGCCAGAAATGCCAGGTGCCATCAGGAGGTCCAGCAGTGGGGCCAGGACACTAGAAGCCCCTCCCACTCTTGCCCCCCCAAGAACCAAGAATACAGAGCATCACCTGCCCCAGACTGAGAGTTCATATCCATACCTGACGGACCTCTGCTCCATATGCTTATTTAATTCCCTCTTGAAGCCGTCCATGCTTGTAGCCACCACCACCTCCTGTGGCAGTGAATTCCATGTGTGAATCACTCTTTGGGTGAAGAAGGACTTCCTTCTATCTGTTCTAACCTGACTGCTCAGCAATTTCACTGAGTGCCCACGAGTTCTTGTATTGTATTCTTAGGACTTCTCTCCGTATGGTTGCCAGTCTTCTTGCTTTCCTTGGGCCTTCTGCTGCCGAGCTAGAAGGGGGTTGCTTAAACTGCTGGATCACAGGTGTCAGTTCTCTGGGATCCAGTCATGTGCTTGTCCAAACGCCCATGCCCAGAATGGGTGTCGCCCCACCAGCCAAATGAGCAGTGGTGGCCCAAGTGGGGCCAGAAGCAGGAGCCCAGCCCAACTAGTAGCTCTGTGGTAGAGCATCTGCTTGGCACACAGAAGGCCCCAGGTTTGATCCCCGGCATCTTCAGTTAACGGGTCTGGCAGTAGGTGATGTGAAAGACCTCAGCCTGAGACTCTGGAGAGCCACGGCCAGTCTTAGTAAAACATATTGACTTTGATGGACCAAGGCTGCACTCACGCACACTAAATAACCCACTTCCAAGTGCATTTCCAACTGGATATTACTGTGTGAACTGGCAAAATCCATTTGGAAAGTGGACTGAAAGTGGATCATTTAGTGCGTGTGACTGCAGCCCGATTCAGTGTAAGGCAGGTTCATTAGGGTTGCCAAATTCTTCTTCGCCGGGAGCGGGGGGCTCCTGGCCGGCATCGAGGGTGTGCGTGCGTGCGAAGCATGCGCTCCGCGTGCACGTCACCCGGAAGTGACATAGGCACGCTGGGCACGCTGGGGGCGGGGTTCCCCCGGGCCCCGATTCCGCCACGTCGGAAATCGGGGCTTCAAAGCGGGGGATTCCCCGCCCCCTGCCCACATTTGGCAGCCCTAAGGTTCATGCCTTTCATGTGGCTCCAGACGACCCCTCAGGGAGCACCTTCCTTTCTCTGTTCAGTGAGGTCTTCCGAAGGAGCCAGATGTGCAGCCAAACTTCCTGGGCTAAGCCATCCGCTCTGTAGAACCCTTTCCTTTGAGAGATGCCTGCTGTCGCATTTTTGCCACTGTTTGGAAAAGTCTGTTCCTCCCCCCCCTCAGGTGTTTGCTAAGGTTTGTTGAAATATACCAGAC